TTAGTCCTTCAAGACACCGCAGAAAAGGTAGAGGCAGGGCCACAAGTGGTTTCAAGGCTATAGAAGTCTTAGGGTCCTACTTGACAAAGAGAAAGGATAAAAGCACCAAGTTAACATATGGAGAGCTGAGAAGTGTAAATGTTTTTGAAGAATTGGATACTATGAACAGGCAATCTGAAGAGCTCACAAGACAGGACAGACCAGTCATACGAGGGGCTTGTGTAAGCAGGAAAAACCAAAGAAATGTGAATACGCAAACCATGGGAATAAAAGTAAGGCCGTCTGTACAACTTTCCTCAGTACCACAGTGTCCTTCCTGTGAGGAACTACATCCAACTGAGATGGAGGTCATGGGTGCCAGATGGCTGACCAAGGTAAAAGGATGCCCAAGGAGAGAAAAGGCAGTGATGCTTCTCACTGATGCTTCAGACAAGAGGAGTACTGAAGACAAACCCTGTTCTCTCAGGATTATAAACAACCCTGAGAGCATGCAGTGGTAAGCTTGAGAGAAGAACCTGGAAGACTACCAAGTACACAAATGCTGTAGAAGGTCCAACAGATCGTTGCAAACCATTCAGGAGAAGGCAAACCCATTAGCAAGAAGATGAAAACAGAAGACATAGAGGAGAAAACCAGTCCAAGGGATTGAGAAAGAAAAAAAGGTCAACTGTCCTGAGAAGGATGCCCTGGTTCCTGAGGCTTCACCAAGAATCCTGACAATATCCCCTTTCTTAAAATCAGTTACTGTCATGTTTCTAAAATGTAACTTTCTCAGGAGGCTCTCTGATCCCTGAAACAAACAGGGTTTTTCCCAAGTCCACTCCACCAAGCAAGTTTGACATTTGCTTCTGGAGTAACAGGGATACCTCATCCTACAGGCAGAATAAACCCAAATTGTGGGGATCTCAAAGATCAATATTATAGGATGAAAACAAAGGGAATGCACAGATTCTTAACAGACTGTTGGAGGCACAGCATGAGCAGACAAAACAGATGGCAATGATGACAACATGGAACATGAGCTTTCTGAAGGCTGACTGAACACAGCAAAGACCTGTCCTGGGGTTTGAATGTAAAGTGTAATGAAAATGCTCAGTCCATAGCTGGTAATGTTGTTTTGGAAAACTGGAGACCCTTTAGAAGTGTATAGTTTAGCTGGAGCTGTAGTCCACAAGGGACAGGCTTTGAAGTTATATAGTGTAGCCACACTTTGTATCTATAGCTAGGATGGTCTCTGCCTACTGGGCTCCTGTAGAGAATACACTTCACAGCCTGCTGCCACTCAAAGCTAACTCATCACCTAAGCCCCTGCCTCCTTCACCTTCCTACAGTGATGGTGGTACCTGTGACATCAGGACAGAGTGCCCAACTATTTCTATCAACCATCCTATTATTTCCACCAAAAAAAGAGAAATCATCCTTGTGATAACAAAGGATCCTGATGCTGAAAAGATGTCTTTAACTTTTGGCACCTGCCCAAACAACCATCAAGACTTGGTCTTACCTGCTCTTCCCTACTCAAGGACTCTCTCAACTATCACAAGGAGACAAGACTAGTCTCTCCCATTTGGTCAGTAAAAACAAAAGGGCAGGGACTACAGAATGGCTCAGTGGGGAAAGCCACCTGTTGCCAAGCCCAATGACCCGAGTTTGATCCCTAGTACCTACACGGTAGAAGGAGAGAGTGAAGTTGTCTTCTAGCCTCCACATGTGTGCTCCATGTAGTGAATGTATGCAACAAAATAAAACTGTAATTTTAAAAAAGGGCAACTATAACTCTAGACAGCACAAAGTATACAGGTGCAGAGAAGCTCCCACCTGCCCTCTGTGGCAGCTCCCAGCCTGGCAGTCTTCCTCTTGCTGACTCCTCAGTCTACACACCTGTGGCTCCCAACCCTCAAAGTCTTCCTTTGGGCTTGCCCAATGCTGTCATCATTTCCTTTTTTTTTTTTTTAATAATTTATTTTATTTTATGTGCATTAGTGTGAAGGTGTCAGATCCCTGGGAATTGGGGTAACAGACAGTTGTAAGCTGCCATGTGGGTGCTGGGAATTGAACCTGGGTCCTTTGGAAGAGAATACAGTGCTCTTAACCACTGAGCCATCTCTCCAGCCCTCCTTTTTCCTTTAATCCTCCTAAATACAGTGCCCCTGAAAGGTCTGTTCTGACTCCATTGTTTTTCAGTAAGTAAAAATGATAATGTAGTGAGGCACTGACCTTCCACCCACATCACCCCCCTTTCCAACTGTCCCTTGGCTCCTCAGCTAACCTAACAAGCCTCTGTAACTCCATTTCAAGTCCACTTCTATTCCTCATTCACATCTTTGCCAGTTTTAGCCATCTCAACTGGCTGCTACCAAAATAAGAAAAGAAAAAGAAAAAGATTAAATCCATTCCAGTACCTCCAGAGGGCACTCTAAAACCAGCTCAGAGATACCTCAGCGACCCACAAACTGGATGCCAAGCACCTTGGGAGTATGTGCTCACCCTGTGCAGCTTCATACAGGCTCCTGGGTTCTACCTGAGGCTTAGCACCCAGTTCTATCACAGTACAGTAAGTTACCAGGAAGATTAGCACAGATCTGACAGCAAGGGCAGTGCTGACTCTGAAGTGTTTCACACCAGACTCACATGTTAAAGTATAAATATGAAGGTGATCTGGAAAGCCAGGGATACAACAGCCCTGGCTCTGCAGAAAAAGGGTTGCTGATTCTTTTCATTCTTCTACCGTGATTTTATCAGGATACATAGTCCACAGACACAGTTCTGCTCTGGCTACTGTGGCTTTCTCATAAACTGTCACAATACCATGGAACATGCTCTCCTGCATCTTATTTTAGATGTGGAAATAAAGTATGGTTATTTTATGCTCTGGAAGACTGAGATGCTGCATGCTCCACAAAGAAGCAGGTGCCGAAGCCAACACAAATTCCAAGTACAGATCAGAACCCTTCCAGCATCTCTGAAAGTAAATTTGACTTGTTTAAAAATCCCTCTTCTTCCAGGGCTGAGAATATAGTTCATCTGGCAGAGTACTCAGCTGGCACGCACAAAGCCCTTCCACCTTCTGCACTACACAGAACCAGGCATCAGCACACACCATCTTCAGCTACTTAGTGAGCAAGGCCAGCCTGAGATACATGAGGCTTTGTTTCTCCCTCACCCTCAGCTCTCCCAAAACACCAAACCATTAGACAAAAAACTAAGGACAAACAAAAGCACCTCCCCGGCTCCCCCTCCACTCTCCAACAGAGACAATGTGGCTTGTGACCTTACTTTAAATTGGGGCTTATCAGCATCAACCTGACAAACACTGATCCCTGTATCACATCTCCAGACCATTTGAAAGTATCACCCCCACCCCTGAAACTTCCTAACTTCAATTCCAGAGACCTCTGAGCATTCTCACCTCACTTTTCCCCAGACACTGGGCCAGGTTCTCACACACTCAGGACTTTCCTCCATAGCAGCAGTGGGGCAACACTAAGTTAGGCCAGTGGGATTTCCAGGGAATCCACAGCTGTGCAGCAAAACTGCTGCTCTGAAGTTAGCTGGGGAGAAAATCAGGATCACCTTCTGATGCGGCCATTCTAGAAAAATGCACGTCAAGTCCAGGAGAGGGAGCACAAAGGAGAGGCTACAAGCACAGATGGGATGAAACAGAGAAGTAGGAGATTGGGCAAAGTGCAGCCACACAGGCCATCACATGAGGACAGAAAACAAGCTCAGTTTCATGCTTCACTCCTCATTAAGTCCCTCATGTCAACAGTCTTACTCTTTCTGGTGACAACACCCTCCTTCCTCTCCCAGACATGCCTAGCTCTGGCCTAGTATGTTCTCACTGTATTCTACATGGGTTCACCTGCTCTTAAAGATGTGATCTTTAAAGAAACACACACACACACACACACACACACACACACACACACACACACACAAAACCAAAAACCAACTCCCAAACTTCTATCTGCCCTCTAACGGTCAAGCAGGCACAGCCCAATGGAGGCAGAGTCAAAGTGCCACTCTGCCTATGCTGTCACCTCCTTACAAGTTCATCACAGTATAGAAATTACTGACATACTACTCTGTCACATAAGACTGAAAGCAAGACCACTAATGCCCAAAGCAACCCCAGACCACCCAACTACCACCCAAAGTCAGGCCATATTCAATAATTCCACCTGACACCAACAATGCAGGCTGAGCTGTACAGACATGGCCCAGCTTAAAACAATTTGCAACGTATAATCGTATTTCAAAAACAACCTTTTTTGTTTTTGATTGCTACAGAGAAACAACCTTAATGATGGAGCTGTGCACTGCACTTTAGAGAGCAAAGAACACTCATAAAAACTCCATAAAAAAACTATGTGACCTGTTAATAAGTCCCTCAAACTCAGTGGGTTCAAGGCCAAATCTCATTATAGCATCTATTTTGCTAAGTGAGTTCCTCTATCCCTTCATCTGTCCAATCCTGAAACCTAGGCACTGTCGAAGTCCTAACCAAGTCCTGTACCCTCTACCTCATCGGGTTTCTTTAACCATATCATTTACTTCCGCCATTTCTCCCCAAAGCCTCATTTCCCCCTCATCCACTCTAATGTAACCTTTCTAAAATATCAGATCGTTCCTACTGTTTACAATTTCTCAACGAGTCCCATCCACTTGCATTGCAATTTCCAAATGTTTATGGCTTTAAAAGAACATGCAACACATGGGGGTGCACACCTTTAATCCCAGCACTTGAGAAGCAGAGGCAGGAGGATCTCTGTGAGTTCAAGGCCAGCTGGTCTACAAAGTGAGTTCTAAGACAGCCAATAATACAAAGAAGACCCTGCTTCAAAATAAATGAATAAATTAAAGAATATACAACTGGGTTAGGTGGCGCACGCCTGTAATCCCAGCACTTAGGAAGGCAGAGGTAGGCAGATCTCTGTGAGTTTGGGACAGCCAAGGCTACACAGAAAAACCCTGTCTCAAAAAAACAAACAAAACCCCCCCAATATTCACATAATTTTATTATATAGCTAACAGATCCCAACATAATGTAATTTTTAAAACTGAGCATTCCATTGTAAATACAATTTTTGTAACTATTTAAGAACAGATTAAGGAGCTCAAGATCCTAATACCCAAAGTCCACAATTTATAACATTTTCAAATTTCTTGTAGACTTTTTTCCATTCGAAGGTTTTAGTGAAAGTTTACTGAAATTGTTGCATATTTTTAGCATGTCTGCAGCTGTGTATCCTGATTCTCCTCTACTTAATAGTCACGTATTTTAATATATATCCTATATTTAAATATATATTAAATATATTTTACGTGGCAGCATTATCTAGTGAATGTATCATCACCATTCTACAATTAAACCCTTAAGATCATTCTACATATTTTGTGTATAAGGCTTTTTATATTTAAAAACATTTCTTTAATGGTTCCCACGTCAGGAAACACAAGTACTGCAAAGCTTGATCAATATGGCCAATATAACATAAGAATGTGCCACTGGTAGTGTGCCTTGAACACAGTGATTCTGTGTTAAACGACAGAACTTACAGCCTCTTCACTACAAGTTAATGCTCACATACACATCAGAAAATGCAAAAGCACACACTGGCTGCTAGTGTTTCCCTGCAGAAGTAATCATGGTTTCCACGGGCTCTTTCTAGATATTTTTGTTTTTATTCAAACACATAATTATTTTGCTTTGTATCTTATAAAAATAGAATGAAGTTCGAGTCTTTGTTCAATAGTATATTACAGATGTCTATCCAGGCTACCTCTTTCCAAAGCCAACACACTATCCCTAACACAAAATCAAACCACGATTTCCTGTGGTTGTCTTCAGCACCTGATCTTGTCAGAGCTTCACCGACATTGATGTTCCCAGAAGCTGTCAGGGGTTTCAGCAAATATGTCCACTTGCTTAGTCTAATGTAAAAACACAGTATTACTGATGAAATTTGGAGAGCTTTGTATTTTTATTTTATATGTGTGGGTGTTTTGCCTACATGTATTGTCTGTGTACCATGTGCATGAACTGCCATGTGGGTTCTGGGAATTGAACACACCATGTCCTCTGGAAAGTGTGTGTATGTGTGTGCATGTGTTTTAAAGTGCCTTTTTTGTTGGGAACATCAATCCAATGACAGATAACATGCCTGGCATTTAGAAGACCCTGGAGTTGTGGAGGGGTGGTTTGCTCTTGCTTTTACTGAGTTCCATTTCCTAAAAAAACAAAACCGGGTCTTAGAAGAAAAAAAAAAAATCAGGCATCTATTTTAGCACACTTTTCTTAGTGTTGTGAATTCACCATAAGCTCAAAGAACAGACTACCCCTCTTCCAAGAGCACTGTGAAATGGCCAGTGTGGCCTTTCCACTTCAAATCTCCACCTCACACCCCCATATTCTTTATGTGGCAACTGGAGAGGTTGTTTAAAAACCACATTTCTAAAGTACCTTGTGAGTAAAGACCCTACACAATTTGGCCTGTCAGGTTGCTCTCTCCTTAATCACCATCCAGTGATGCCTTAGCTCCTATAATGAGTGCTACTTTCCCTCCCTTTAAGGCCTTCCCACATGCTGTTCCTCTGCTGGAAAATTATTCCCCACCTGACTGACACCAGGGCTTGCTCATTCCCAGCTTAAATCTTGTTTTAGAGGGTGGGGGTCGTCTTTCGGGGCCCTCAATCTAAAATGTCGTTCTCATTTTTATGCTCTCTTATACAGCACATGCTACCTAACTTTCCTAGCAGATAGCCTCATCTGTGTCTAACCTCTGTTTTGGGACTAATCTCTCACCCTTTCCCTCTACAGATTATAAACTCTAAGAGAACAAGGACAAATTGGTATTCTTGGCATACCACAGGCACTCACATACATGTGAATGAAAAAAAGAAAATTAAATTAAAAACATAACTAAAAGGTGCTGACTGAATCTTAAAATGTTACCCCATTTCATCACTATTTCAGCTGGTAAAACTTTCTGATATACCCATAAATTCAGTAGGAACTCCTTTTCCTGAAAGAAACTAAGGTTGCCAGAATCTTCCGTGGTCACTGAAAGCATGCAGAAAATGTACAACAGGAGGAAATAAGTTTGTATAAATGGCTAAACACACTGTAGACACTCCAATCCAGTCAACTAACAAATGTGTGTGTGTTTTTTTTAAGAAATGGAAAAGTATTACGAAAAATGTGCCTTGCAAAATATTCATTAGAAACACAGTATTGTCAGTATTTCATAAAACTTAAGTTGACTGTCAAAAGTAACCTATGATATGCTCATCTGATGAAAAAAGTATGCAAACTTACATTGCAAGGTGGCCAGTTTGGGATAGCCCAGACTAATAAAGCAGTCTGTTTATTGCTTTACACTTTCCAGCTTTCACATGACTTCAGTGAGGTCTGTGCAGTCAACAGACCTTTAAAGAAACAGAGGCTCTACGTGTTCTCCTCAAGGTCACTGGCCAAAAAATAGTTAGTCACCTCAGGGAGGGCTGAGAGGCCCCTGTGCAAATTCCTAATAAAGAAAATCCTCCATTATAAATGTTTCCATTCTACAATTAACATGGCTCTGTGGCTCCCTCCAATAAAATCTCATCTTACCACAAAACCATCACCAGGCTTTTTTGGCTTTGTGGTTTTTGTTTTTTGTTTGTTTGTTTGTTTTTTTAAGCTGTTCTTTAAAAACTTGAATGGCCATCACCGTGGGACATGGCTAAACAATGATGGACCCAAACTCTAGAACACCAGGCCACAGTTCTGAAAAATGAGTTAGAGCACTATAAAAAATAAAATGCACAACTAGTTAGTTCATACTCAGTACGATATAAAGCCCTTTATAGAAAATAAATTCTAAAACATGTAGGACACACACCACGTGCAGAACAGAGATGGGCAGACGGACTTGTCATCAGCGACTTCGTTCACCTTCCAAAGAAAACATCTTTCTCTGCTCACCTCCAATTGAATTTCTAAATCTAAACCTGTGGACTGAACCACTTTTCTGCCCTGGGAAAAGACACGCCTACCGAGTAAGTAGAGTCCCCCTCCAGAAGATTCCCACCCCTTTAAAACAATACAAAGGTCAAAGGGCACACACTGTCCCTGGACAAGAGGCGCTGGCTTGGAAATGCGACTTCCGATCCCGAGGCGCCTTTGTTGCAATAGGCACACACTCAACTCCCGACCGGGCAGACGCATCCCCGAGACCGACTTGCCAGGAGTTTGGCCAGAAAGGTCTCACAAAGAAGCCGAGTTCCCGGAGAGCGGCGGACCGGGCTGGGGATCGGGGGCCTCGGCGGCGGCGGGGCAGCGTACCTGCGGAGGGCCGGGCCCGGGCGGTGGTCAGACAATGGAGGCGTCCGGCGGCGGCGGGCTGGCGCGCCGGGGGCGCGGGGAGGTCCTCATCACCGGGGCCGGACGCGGGGCGGCCTCGGCCGGGCCTGGGCGCTGCTGGAGACGACACGACACGGAGCCATGCAGCGCAGCGCTGCGCGGCCCCCGCCCACCCCGCCGCCCCCGGCCCCGCGCGCGGCCCGCGCGGCCCTCCCGGGACCCGCCTGGAGCCCATCCAGGGCGCGGCCCTCGGCTCCCGCCCGGGGCGGCCGCGCTCCCTCCCGCCCCGGCCCCGACAACAATGGGGCCCGGCCCGGGAGCCCGGCTCCCACGGGGCCTCCCCTGCCTCGTCCCGGCGCTGCACGGGCGCCCCGCTCCGCCCTCCCGTCCTTGCCGCGGCCCAGGCCCGGCGGGGGGACGGCTTGTTTGCCTTTCCTTCCCGCCCCCCGACTCCGCCGGACCCCGCTCGTCGGCCCACGCCCCGTCCGAACAGCCCAGACCCACGGACTCACTCACTCCACCGTCGGCCGGCGCAGCTCACTCCCGAGCGCGGCTGAGGAGAGCGTCCAGGCCGCGGGCTCCGCGCGCCCACCGGCCCCCGCTCCTCCGGGGACACCTCACAGGTGCGCCTCCGAGCCGCGCGCGCGCGCTCCGCACACCCAGACGCCTCGGGGCGTCGGGGGGGGGGGGGGGACGGCGCGCGTGCGCACGCGCGAGGGGGGGCCCCCCCCCCCCGGGGGGGGGGGGGGGGGAAAAAAAAAAAAAAATTAAAAAAAGGAAAAGGACGCCGTGCGCATGCGCGCCTAGCGGGTCGCGACCCCTCCCGGGCACGCACGCGCGTTCCCGCTCCGCTTCTCCTCCCCCTCGTGTCCCCGCCCCACCCCGCCCTGGTTACCAAGGGCAACCGCAGTGCGGCCGCACCTGAGCAGTGCGCTTGCGTGTTACTAACATCCCTCCGGTTCTTTTTTTTTTTTTTTTTTTTTTTTCTCGACCTCTCCCTCCGCTCTGCCGCAGCCGCAGGGAGCGGGGCATCGCCCCTCTTCCCCTCCGCAGGGAGAGCATCGATCCGCCCGGGCCCTCCCCTCGCGGGCGGACCGCCGCCGCGTCGGCGCCGCATCCTCCCCTCAGACGGCCTCGGGTGCGAGGACCAGCCCTGCAGCCAACGGCTCCCGGCGTGCACCTCGGCGAGCGCTCGGAGGGAGCAGGCGGGATGCGCCGGCCGGGCGGCGTCTCTTGAGAGTCCGTGCCCCGCGGCAGGGCCGCTGCGCACCCAGCTCCAGCCGTCCCTGCCCATGGGCCGCGGGTCACCGCGAGGAGCAGGCCGAGCGCCGCAGCCGCCTGAAGGAGCGTGGCAGGTGAGGCGCGCACCTGCGCTGAGCAGGAGGAGGCTCGCCCGCGGGGCTCGGCGCCAGGCTGCGCACAGGGGCGGCGGGGGAGGCGCGACGCAACGGCTGCAACCGCCGGCCCGGGCCGGGTAGGAGCCGCATTGCAGGTACCGGGCAGCGCCCCGGGGTCCGGCCCAACGCCGGCGGGATGCTGCGGGCCTCGGCCGCCCGCCCGCGCCACATCTGCCGCCTCCCGGACCTGCAGCCCTGGCGACCGGGTGGCTCAGCGTAAGTGCTCCGCCCTGGGCTCCCGGGGACCCGCGGATGCGCGCGCTGGTCACTGTTCGCAGGTAGCGGGCCTCCGCCCCGGGTTGCGGTCTCCTCGAGCTGGACCCTGCCCTGCGGGCCAATGTCAAGCCTCAAGTATCTTTAGCTGCACTCTCTGGTCCACTGATGACAGTGAGGTGGTGGAGGAGAAGGATGCGACCGTGCTCTGTGACAGGTGGCACCGGTCGGTTTCATAACAAAGTACAGGACACCTTTAGGAGTGTTTAAAAAGCAGCCGGGCGAGATGGCGCACACCCTCAAATTTCAGAAGCAGGTGGATCTCTTGAGTCGGAGGCAAGCCTGATCTACATAGTGAATTTCACGCAAGCCAAGGCTAATGGTGAGACCCTGTCTCAAAGAAAGACAGGAAAAAAAGTGTTAAAACCAGGATCTCAGTCAATGAACTAAGTTTGAAATTTATTTAAATGGCATTGGTATTTATTTTCTTATTTGCACGGCCGAGAATTCCCTGGCATTCTCTCGCCATTGTATTGTAAGGAAGAAAAAAAACAAAAAGATGCTAGCATTCCTAATCACACTACCTCCACAGTTTTTTCATGTTTTCCCATTCTGTTCACCAGAATAGCTTAATATTCTAGTATGTTTGGAAGAAAGCCTTTAAGACTTGTGCTTCTCTGTGTATGTGTACATACACCACTACTGGAAAGCCTTGAAATAGTTTGGATAGCTCCTCTGTAGCATATTTTAATGAGTCAGTTTCGTTTGAACTTTTCTGTTTGGATTTGCAGTGTGGAAGGTAGAACATAGGGCTCCATTGAGCTCCAGCCCCAGCCCTGATTTAGCTATATTTTGAAGTATAGAACAATGATTTGCATAAATCAGCTTTTCCTTTCTACAAATATGTCCAATTGCTGTTTTAGAAATTAGGCATTTTTAACGTTGAATCTTTTCACAGAAAAGCTTGAATCCTTTTGTTTAGAACCACTCACTCAGTCTGGGTTCTTAACTCTTCATCTGTTGTAGGTTGGAAAATCGATTTTAGCCTCATTATCTAATTGTCAGGATGTGTTTGCAGCAGGACTGACATTAATTACAACGTTGATGCTTTTAAGAAATACTTGTAAAGCGTTCTCTCATATTTCTGGCAAGAAAAATGCAGAGCTTTTTTCTTCTGTCTAAAACAAGGTCAGCCATAAATAGATCCTAATGCATACTGGGTGACACGTTTATTAACTAAGATTAACTGTCTCTTGAACTTCATATACTCTGAGGGCAGTGGCGAGGCATCCTGCAGTGCCGTAGAGAGAGAGAGACAGGCTCGAGTGGAAGTCCAGAGCAGCTGGGTGGGCTCTGATGTTTCACCCTGCAGAAACATTGGCAGGGAATGGCCAGCGTCCTAATGGTCTTCAGATATTTGAAGGTCTGCCATGCAGGAGGGATTTTGATTGCTTTAGAGTAATTCCTGAGCAAGGAAGAGGACACTGAGTACTTACAGGAAGACAGCGTGCCTGGTGATGTAAAAGCAGAATTACTGTCATAAGATCAGAACTTAAGTAGTGAAAAGAAGGGGCTGCCCTTCCCTCAGCTCCCTCCCAGTGCAGCACAGATGATGACTCAGGTCTGGAAGGGCTGTGTGTGTGTTGGGGGACGTCTGTTAGAGGGTGTCCGAGGGTTCCAGTGGCCACTGGATGCCAGGACTTTGTTTCCCCTCGTATTTCTGTGGGGGTTTGTTGTTATGTGTTCTGCTGACAGCTTCTACAGAGGTGGGCATGCTAACATTCCTAGTCACCTACTTGAATCCTGAGAAGATGGTAACTGGGTTATCTGCTTGGGGTCAGAGATGACTTGAATCCTATTTTGCATTGTTTTTGAAGCCTTAGAGATAATAAAGTACTCCCATATCCAGTGTGTTGCTTGAAATGTGTTATATACTTCTTCCTCTGGCTTTTATTTTCTGTAGTAACCATCTAGTTAAAAGACAATTGCCTTTTCTAAAACTAAGAGGTCATTCTTGGTGCCATTTTTTCTGAGAGTCAGCAAATTGTGAATGTGTGCTTTCCTGAGCTGAGGGCATCACAGATGGTAAAGACAGTACTCTTGCGCTTGCTCTGCGTTTTAGATTGTGTTTATTTCATTACTCAAATATGACTCAAGTTTCATAGCAAAACAGTTGAGTCATAGTAGTTGTATTCAGTGCTTTTTGGATGGTTTCTAAATATATCCAAAGAAAGAATGACTGTGAAATGAAGAGAAGGTGAAAGGGGCTGTCTTAGTTAGGATTTCTATTGCTGTGATGAAACACCATGACCAAGAGCAACTCAGAGTTCCATAAAACAGTTCATCATCAAAAGCAGTGAGGGCAGGGACTCTAGAAGGCAGGGACCTGGAGACAGGAGGGGGTGTAGAGGCCGTGGAGGGGTGCTGCTTACCATCTTGCTTTTCCAGGCTTGCTCAGCCTGCTTGCTTGTAGAACCCAGGACTAATAGCCCAGGGGTAGGGTACAATTGCCCCACCCACAATGGGCTGGGCCCTCACACATCAATCACAAATAAAGAAATGCCCTACAGGCTTGCCAAACGCCCAGATTTTATGGAGGCATTTTCTCAGTAGAGGTTCTCTCCTCTCTGATGACTCTATCTAGCTTGTGTCAAGTTGACATAAAACTAGACAGCACAGGGGCTTTGTGATTGAAGGAGATGGAAGATGTGGCCTGTTTGTGCTGTGCCAATCTTGGTGAACTGATTGACAAGGGGAATAACTATGTCACCATTAGAATAGTGACCAGACTCCCAGGTACGTGCATTAATTGGGGTTTGCACTCTGGGAACCTGATGAGCAGCTGGTGCCTGGGAGTGCAAAGGCCTGACATGCAGCAGAGTAGTCACAAAGCCGATGGAGTTAAACTGTTGAATCCTCTGGAATTGGAGTTCCAGATAGTTGAGCCACCGTATGAGCACGGGAAACTAAACCACAGCCCTCTGCATGAGCAGCAAATGTTAGCGGAGCATGGTAGCCTACAACCCTTAATCCCAGCACTTGGGAGGCAGGGCAGACAAATCTCTTGAGACCAGACTGGTCTATATAGAAAGTTCAGGACAGCCAGGGACAGAGAGACCCTGTCTCAATAAATAAATAAATACATACATACATACATACATACATACATACATACATACATACATACATGATTTTATTATTTTAGAAAAAAAGCCCCAAAGTTATTTTTAAGTATTTCTGAAACAACAAATGATCAAGTAAGAGAGGCAGTTAGAAAATAACACAGCCCTATGGTACATTAGTCAGTTGTTTTAAAAGATGTCCTTGTTAAGCAGGCACGGTGCACACTGCAATCCTAGCACTCAGCAGGCTAATGCAGGAGAATCCTGAGTTCAAAGCCACCTGCTACTACAATATAAGGACCTGTCTTTAAAACAAGGAATAAGACTTATTTGTTAATGAAAATGAGAGCAAAGAGCAATATTTCATGATTATTTCCTGCTCACTACTTCCCAGAATGAAAAGTACATGCTGTGCTGTGGCTGGAAAAGGAGAGGAGACTATACTTTTTCCTTGATGCTGAGTGGCTAAATTCTCAAAACTGAGCACTGAAATACCTGGGCCAGTACCAAACAAGGGGGCAAACCCAAGAGGCTTGGTGCTTATGGGAGATAGAACCCTTGATTAATGCATTACCACACACACACACACACACACACACACACACAAATGTATATATATATATATATATATATATATATATATACACACACACACACACACACTTTGCTTCTGTGGATCGTATCTGTATTTCCTGTTTGGCCACCCTCTAGAAGATTAAGTTTAGCTCTGCATGAGATCCATGGTCATGGGATTCTTTCCTAGGCTTTTGCAGTGTGCTGTTGCCTTCTCACTTACTGTGCACTTAGAGTTGGTGAAGTCCATTTTCACATGATATTGTTTAAGGTATGTCTGCTTTTACACATTGCATTTCCTATCATTACTGTGGTCCCAGCCATCTGAAGGTTGCACATTTTACCCAGAGGCGAAGAATT